CACACAAACATGTTTAATTAGGGAGCACCAGGTTTGTTAAGAAAAATACAGAAACCTTGTGCCTCACATACCATAAACACTTCAGTGTCACAACCTGCAGAGACTGAAAACATATGGAATAAAGATGAAGCATTTTTGCAGGTAACAGAATACTCCTGAGAGCTCAGCCAGCCCAGCTGGAGCACTGGCAACAGCCTGACTGAGGCTGTGAAAGGATGCAGGAAGAGTCAGAGTTTCTGGAGAGCAAAACCACACACTTTCTCTTTAGCAGGGAATTTGAAACATGTTCAGGCAAATGGTTTTTACCCTGTCTCATCTTGCCTAACTTTTTAAGGCCTTCCAGGTGTGCTGCTATACCTGTATATTAAGCAATCCTCAGGTAAAAGGGAATTTTCTTTGTACTTTGGGAGCAAAGCTCACACTTCCATGTCCAAAATGGGGTTCCTGTAGTTTGCCCCTCCGAGCATTAAAGGTCAGGGACAGCAAGGAGCCAAAAATAGCTGCTCCCTGTGCCCAGCAAACAAACCCACTGAGCTGTCCACCCACGTCTCAGGCAGCTGCAAAAGGTTTGGAGTATTTCTTTGTGCTGATCTTGTCAAAGCTCCTCAGAGCTGCCAGAAAACTGTCTGTGGGGCTGAGCTCCCTCAACTCTGGAGTCTGGGGGACTCAGCCCCTTCAGGAATAATCATCAGGGAATTCCTTCCCATTTCTGCTCCCTGGGGTTCCCAAGTCCTATTTCCTCCTCATTGCTGGGACACCAATCCTGTCTCTCCTCAATACCCACCCCTGCCACCTTCAACCCTCTGCTTCACTGCACTTGTCTCCGTCTCTCCTGACGCTTCCCAAATCCATCCCAGCTGGGATCAAACTTCACCTTCCACACACTGCCCCACAATCCCAAGAAGAGCTGGGCTTTATCCTTCCTGACCTAAACCTCACAGGAAATACAGCCTAGAGAAGCAAATCCCGCAAGAGCCAAACGAACACGAGTATGGACAGATCCAGGCACAAGCAGAATGAAGGCTGAAGGTTTCTCTTGGTCAGCAGAGTTGTAAATTAAGTTGTAAGAGTTGTAAGTTTATGAAAATGAACAAAATTCAAAACAACTTCTTCAATCCAGTCCCTTCACTCCAATCATGAATAAACCTAACCCTAAACCAACAAACCCACACAAACCCAAAATCCTGGTGTGCTGTTTGAGAGGTCAAAATCTGAGCTTCCCAAGAGCCAGATTAAAAAAAAAAAAAAAGCCCCAAAAAACTGCTGAGAAAATTCTGTGGAAATGGCTGTAAAGCAGGAAATTAACATTTTCTGGTTCAATTTATTACCAACACTATAATGACACCAACAGGATTCTTGCTAGAAAACCAGAGTAACTTCCCAGGGAGCAGCCTCAAGTCAGACAGCCCTGCTCTCTTGCAAGCTCTAGACTCATTCTTTGTTTGACACAGGAAAGGCTTCACTGAGCAGCTTTATTTCCCAAGGAGTCAAATGCTCACAGTTCCTCTCCTTTTGCCTTTCCATGTCCAGACTGGAGACTTCAGAGCATTGTTAGCAGCTCAATAATTATAAAATATTGAATTCACCAAATAAAACATACACACACACTATAAATAACAGTCTGAACTTCCTATAACACTTTAACTCTCTCAATACATGGTTTTACCCCTTTCCCTGGCAGCCAAAACTGTGGTTCAGCAAGAGAACAGCACGAATTTAGCACATCCCACATCTAAACACAGAGGCTGAGGAGTCAAAGGCTGTAACAGAAGCGGGTGCTGAAAAGATACTTCATTTTTAAATCCCTGTCTGCAATTTGGTTCAATTTAAATTATTTCCAAAGCAAAAATCAGAATTTCCAATTAATTTAACAGGGCATAAAACAAGCCTTAGCAGGAATGGTATAATGATGTCAAGAGAAGGGAGCACTTCGTCAGAGGCAAGGAAATTACCCCACCTTTACCTGGAGTTTACCATCACCTCTAACAAGGTGCTTCTTGCTCAAATCAGTGATTCAGCTCTCTGGTGGTTTATGGAGCAGAAAGTAAAAAAGGAGTGTCTAGGGATGAAATACAGTTCTTCCAGTGAAACTGAGACAGGAAATGGGGAGCCAGGAACAGTCTGAGGTGTTGCTATTAATCACCTGCACAGCAGCACTGCCTGAAATACAGCTTTTAATGAGACTTTTCTTCAAACAATGACAAAAAATTATTTCCCAGACTAACAGAGCTGTTGCAGGCAGGATGATGCTCACCTTGCTCAGTTCAGGCAGGACTAATCCTACAGTGAGCTCTTCCAGCCTTACCCTTCAGGGCACATCTCAAGCCACAGGAATGGCAAAATAAGGCCAGAATTAGGCTGCAAAGGACCCAGGAGTATTTCCCTCTCCCATCCTGCTGCAAGGCCTATCCTGAAATGGGAATCCCCAACCCTTTCTAGCCCTGCTCCATCTCTCCCCAGAGGCTGTGACAGTCACACCGGGCAGGGAAGGTCCCACAAAGCCTCTCACCCCGTGAAAGTGAACTTCTTCCCCAAACTCCTGAGGATGGCAAGGACACCTTCCCTGCCCAGCAGGGACATTCTACCCAGCTCACAGAACATACTGGAGGCCCAAATTTCACTTCCTGGTATTTACAACTCTACTCTGTTTTGGAGAATATGTAAAACTTGGGGTTTCATCACAATTAATTCTCCTCCCACCCTGTTCCAACCACCATCTATTTCTCCCCTCATGAAGCAACTTCAGGAATTGTGCTTCCATTGGCAGCCAGAAAGAGAAACACCAGACCAGAAATCACCACAGAAAAGTCCATACCCAGCTCTGACTAGAGCCAGGAGATACTGTCCAACCCTCCGAAATAATGGAGATGAAATCTGGAAAAAGCAATACAGATACAAGGTCTTTAAAGTGCCAACAGCATCTCCAAAAGTACCTGTCAAGGTACTCAGAGATACTTCATTCTCTGTATCTGTAGTAAATGAGGCATTTTTGTGCCTCCTGCAGCTTGTTCCCTTCTCCCCCAACACTTCAGTTTTCCAGGGGGGAGCACCACCCACAGTACCAGTGATTTCCCCTCTTCTAATGCAGCTGAGCTACACTACTTTGTTTTGTCCTTTGGTCTGGTCAAAAATCTCTCTTCACACAAGATCCTTCAGCCACCTCTAACTTTCCCAGCTAAAAATCTTTCACTTGTGTTCTTGTCTCTTCATTAAAATTAAAAAATACTAAAAATAATTCAAAAATAATTTTTTAAAATGCCAAAATAATTTTTAAAAATTCAAAATTAATTTTAAAATAATAATATTGTCACTCCTCTATCCCTTTCTTTGACAGCTTTCTAAACATCCTCCCCTGATCTTCACTGCAGCTTTCCATCTCACTTTTCACTTTGCTCTGCCAAACCCCTCCTCTCCAGTCCCATTCCTTCCCTCCAGGCTTCTGAAAACCCTGCATTGCTAAAAACTTCCCAGCTGTGAAATTTGCTCTGTCTGGCACTGTTTACTGACAGGAAATAATATGATTACCAACTTCTGGAACCATTTCCATGACATGACATCCACAATGCTCAAGCTCCGGGTGAAGCTTCTGCAAGAAAGATTCCACCCTCTGGAACTTTCTCTTTAACACAAACACTCCCACTGGAGCTGGAATCACAATTCTCTCTTGATGTTGCACCAAGAACTTGAGACTACGAGAGCTCAAAGAAACCCCTCTATAATTCAATATAACAGAAGTCAAGCCAGAACAGATGTGAGGGGGAAAATCCCACCACCCAACCAAAGTCTGGGAGTTTAAAAATTCGGGGCCATGACCCAGCCAAGCAAAGAACTGGGCCCATCACATCTATCAAGTTCAAAGTGCCTCCTAAAGCCAGGCATGGCAAAGATGACACTCTGCAGCCATTCCAATAAAACCTTCCCTTCCTAACACAATCCCAATTTATGGCCCAGCCTGTTCCTGCAGCCAAGCTTTGAAGTGTGTGAGAGGTGCTTTATACTAATGAAGGGGGAAAGAAAACAACAGAGTTAAAACATTCACCATTTATCATCTAAAGAGGGGGTTTAAACTTTTTATTTTCAGTCTGACCAGATAAAACAGGAAAATGCAGCTCTACAAAGCAAAATCTTGGAAGGTTGTGGGGCAGAAATAGTTCACTGCCTTTCCTTGGCAAGGTCCAGCATCAGGAATGTCACTGAGGACTCCAGGAACAATCACGACAGCAAATTCCACCTTTATGAGCTACACAAAGGAGCTGATTCAAGGTGGGGGGGGAAATCATCTGAAAAAGACACAGTCTGATTTACTGCTCCCCGAAGTTCCAGTCTTTCACTCTTTCTGCTCTAAATATAATCGCCAAAATCTGCTTTCAAAATTTGTAAATAAATGTGGAAGCCCTTCCCCATCTGTGCTTTAATTGGTGACTCATTTCACAGATCGCTGAAGGATTTGTACTCTTCCCTCCTTCCTCCCGCCACATTCATCCCTCCATCCTGCTCTGCCGTGCAGCTTTGCCACTGTCTCTCATCTGTTACCATGGCAGCCACGAGAAACAGAATGCAACGTTAACAAAAGACTATTTCCCCCCCCTTTAATTTATTTATATGCAAGTAACCCACTGAGAGCAGACAACAGCAATGACTTTACATTCACACCACAGCAAAAGGGGTTTTTTCCCTTTTTTTCCCACACATGTGCTACCAAAAATAATTAAAATTCCTCTGGAGGGGGAAAAAAAAAATATTGAACTTCTTAGGATTAAGAAATGCAGTAGCAGATTTGGAATTAGAGCTGGGGGAAAGCAAGAGGCTTAACACACACACGCTGCTTGAATATCCCTCTCCAGAAAGCTTTTCACTATTTTCAACAGAGCCATTAGATCCAGTGAGAGGCTGAACTGCGGAAAAAAAACCTAATTCCAAGCATTTATATCCAACTAAAAACCTAAGGAAAAAGGAAAGCAAGCTAACTAGAGAAAGACATAAAGCCTTTTGAAACATACCTGTTCCTGATCTGCTGCTTACAGGCATAAGCTGAATTCAGCTGTTAATTGATGAGTTTTGTGAGAAGTTCTCATGTAAAATTTACAGACTCTGAGAGACAAACAGCTAAAATAAATGATACCCTGGCTGAGGGGCCCCTGGTGCTGTCGGAGAGCAGCCAGGCTGGATGGGAGGGCAAGGCAAGCAGGACTGACTCAGGGATGGTGCCCAGGTACCCCCAAGAGTTGGGATCATTTGGAGGTACCTTGGTGTGGAGGCAGGTCTGAGGTGAAGCTTGGATGTCACAGGAACATGGAATATTCTGAGCTGGAAGAGACCAACAGGGATCATCAGTCCAACTCCTGACCCTGCCCAGGCACCCCAACAATCCAAGTGTTGGCCAAACACTCCTGCAACTCTGGCACTTCACAGCACAGGGGGATGGCACCAAAGGAAAACAAAAGCACTTGGCACCTGGGGGGAGTTTTCCAGAAAACCTGACATAGAACAACCTCAATCCTCCAGTGAGTCCCTTTGCTGAGGCAGTTTCCCCAAATCGTCCAAAGGTGGACAGCACTCAGTTTAACTTGCAGCCTGAAAGCTTCAGAACAGAGCTGTGGTCAATAAGCATCCCAAGGAACTTCAATTCCTTGCCTCCCAGGTCTAGAAGCTGTGGTATCTCACAACCAGCTCCAAAGCACCTGCAGCCTATGCCAGAGCTTGGAATGTAATGCCAAAGCTTGGAATGTAATGCCAAAATGAGAAATCCAGGTACTGCCAAGGCACAACGGCCACCTCTGCTCAGCACAAAGATCTTATGTTGCCTTTAATTCAGGTGGGTTTAGAACTTGACCTATTAAATTATGTATAAACTCATCAACACTATAAAAGCTAGAGTGGAAGGTTTAGTAGAAATGAGAGAAGAAGACTAAGCAATGCTTTAGGTAAATGTATTCCCAGTGTGTGGTTTATGGTTCTTCGTGGATTACAACACACACGAACGTGTACCTACAGTCCTACCAGGAGGGAATTTTTCCAAAAGCACAAAGGACTAAATCCCCAACTGGTTTTAGCTCTGCTAAAAATCCATAAAGATGCATCAGGTTGAGTCAAGTGCCTGTGAAATTCCCCAGTTTGGTCACATTTATAGGCTGGGAGGTGGAACAGCCCCTCAGTCACCGCAGTGTCCATTAAGCAGTAACTCAGCTGTGCCTTTGGGAGTGAGGCCTCTCAGAGACACTCAGGGCAGGGACTGGGAGGAACCAGCTCAGTGCTGTCACTGGAAAGCATCTGTCTCCTTCCGTGTCCTCTGCAGATATTCCATGGAAATCGAGGACCGTGAGGCAGCCCCAGCTAATTCCCTCTCATCCCTCAGCCCTGTTCTCTGTCAAAGACTGCACAATTTCAATGGAAATGGGAAGTCAGGTCATACTGGCCACCAACCTTCCTACTCTGACCCCCAGCCCAAATTTCTCATTATCCTACTTAGTCTGTTTATTTTTCCAGCCATCACATACAAGGTGTTACTTTTAGGAGTCCAGTTCAAGGGAGGGTAATGGATTGAAACATCACAACAAAGAACCTCTGTATGAAAGGCAGGAACACGCTCTCATTCCTGCTCCAGCACTAAAGCCATGACTGCAAAGTTTGATGTATTTTGTGTGTGAACTTCACAAAAGAACGTGATAAGATGTAGTTGACCAGTCAGAATTTAAAACATTAGGAAACAATTTAAAAATAAATATGACAAAACTATTTAGGAAAAAAAAAGATTAGATATATGTGACTTCTGCAGCTTAACCACCACAGATCACTGTTAAATCATCTTAAAATTGGAAGCTGCAGCACCCTGTTAAGCAGCATTTAAACGATTTAAAGCAGTCTTAAAACAGAGTAGTTTTTCCTTGAGCTTCTTTTATAGAGGGAATATATGTGCCTTATATATATATATATATATATATATATATATGTATGAAATACTAGTATTTAAACCCAAGAAGGGGCTGAGGAAGAGAACATCAACTGTTTTACGCTGGGGAACAATTCTCTAGAAATCTTTCTTTGGCAAAATCTCACTGAACCAGATCGATGGGATTTTGAGCCCTTGCCTTCAGTTAAATATCTGTATTAAGTGTTAAAGAGAGAGTTAAATATCTTAAATATCTGTATCAGGTAAATACCTGTGTAAAAGTTAATGCCAAGATGAAATAATACCTGGATAGCCCTTGGCAGACAATGCCTCAAAACAAGGATGATGCTGCAAAGTTGAATGAATTTTAAGTATCAGTTTGAGAATAAAAAGAAGACTCAGTTGCCAGCCCAGAAATTTAATTTTTCAGGAGGAAAATTCCTACACTCCACTTGCAGTTCCCTTTGGAACAGTCAGCAGTTATTGGTCTCCCCATTATTTGATTCTAAGTATCAAATATACAACATATGAATTAAAAATGCTCCCCAAAGACAATGGGGTTTATCGTTGCATCTCTTCTGGCTGCACAGTTTCCTTAACGGCTCAATTAGAGCAAGCCTTGGAAACACCAGCTGAATTCAGGATGATTAGTTTGCCAATAATCAATGTTTTCACATTGGCTGGAGCTTTTAACACACAGAGTGAGCTGTAAAAGATGAGCTGCTCCGAGTTTTATGTTTGAGGTAATGCAGAGAAACATTTGATTTCCAGGCCTCCAGGCCCCATTTACCAAGACACACTCGGCTTTCTGAGTCTGTGCACTTCAGTGCCTCCAATTCCAGCCCCAGCAGGGAAGGGCTCCCACACACTCGGGAAAGGAGGGAAGTGGGATGTGGGAAGGCCTCACTTAGAGCAGTGCTGGACATCAGGGAGGGGAAAGGAACTTCAGGCAATGAACATAAATGATTGCAAGGCCCAGAATAAACAGCTGGAATAAGCATCTGATCAAACCCACAATCCCCCCTCTGCCCAAAAGTCAGAGTTTATTTTGATGTCACCAACAGCAGCTGGAGGAGAGCCAGGAAAGAAAGGAAATTTGCGGATTTGCTTTTTCCAAGCAATAATTCAAATTATTTTCTATTACTTCTGTGTGCCCTGTGCTTCTTTGCTGTCTTTGAAAATAAATTTTCCTAAAACTTTTAATGGAAGCAGAAATTAATGCTAAATTCCATAGCAATATTGAGAATTCTCCACTCAATATGTATTATTCTTCTACTTTTTTCTGTGATTCAGGACATCCCTTTGCATTGGCACAACATAAACTGCCACCACTGTTCTGCTCTAACATCCACAGAACGTGGATCACAACTACAACGTGCTAAACAGAGACAGGTCTCCAAAGTAAATCATAAAAAAAAAATCCATCTTTCTAATATATTTGCTTCAGGGCATAAATTATTCTACTTTAAAAGAAGAATTTTAATGCCATGATTTATTCAATGTGACTATAGAGTGAAAAATTCTGAATTACCAAGAACATCGAAAGAAAATGGACTATTAGAATCTCTTTGTAATACAGAGACTGGAGTCATTTCATGAGCTCAGTGAAACCCAAAGGCACACCAACCTCCAGGATCCTGCATTAGAAGAGCCAGGAGAATATTCTGGCTCTATCACCCCCTTCCATTGGCACTTGCCAGTCCCAAGGAGCACACAATGTGGGCTGTTCTCAAAGGAATTCAAAGAGCCAAACGTGCTCCTTTGCAATTCAATCACCCCCTTTTCTCACGCTTAAGTGGTGACCTCTGAAATCCTCAAGTCACTGAGAGGAAGGTGCAGCCAAAATCCAGGGCCTGTCAGATAAAATAATCCACATTTAAAGAGGCAAGACCAGACAATGTGAGCCTCAAAATTCTGTTTGGATTGAAGAAAAAAGAAGGAAAATAAAAAGAACTGGTGCTGTGGCCCAAACTCTGCCAGATTTTCAGCATTTACTGATGGAAGGACTCACGTGCACAACACAAGGCCACAGAGAGTGGAGTCACTCACACGTAGCACTGTTTCTGACCTAAACTCTCTCTTCTTCTGAGGTGTCTTGCCTGCTCACATTGATCCCAAACCATTTTTTAACATTTGCTGGTAAAGGAATTTCTATGTAGTTCAACTGCAGAAATTGGGAAGAACCACCAGGTTTCCTTTTCAGACAGAAAAAAAAATCTAAATCTTAAAAGGTAACAAAGAGGAATAACCAGGAGTGGACAAAGTGCCCTTTTACTCCTAAAAGGAATGTATTAGAATTCCTAAAATCCAATAATATTCTGTTTTACATCTCATTTCAGCCCAGCATTTGCTTGAAGTTAAATATATTAGCTCCCTTGACATCAGTGGGCTCGTTGTGTTGATGGCTGGAACACTCTCCTAAATCAACTGCATCTGTAAATTCAATCAGCAGTGCTAACAAACCAAATTGTTGCTGAAACGTTGGGCTTTTTGCACCTCAGACGAGTGAAGACTGTAAATATAGCAAACCTACTCATTGAGAGTATTCCCTGTCCCAAGAAGCCACTGGAGCTGAGCAGATCCCCTCTTCCAGCTGGGAACCATAAGGCTCAGAGCCTGGAGCAGATTCGCTTCTACTGCAGATAAACCAGGCAAAGGATTTGTAAAAAAGCATTTCGAAAAACAAAGTGGTCAAATTATTTGACTTGAACACAAACTGGTTTATGAGCAAAGAAAGGAAAATGGAGCAAACAAAAAACTCCTTGGACAAAACCATGTGAGGAAGATCCCACTGAAATCCTGTTGGTCTCGAATGCAAAAGTTCAAAGACAGTGATTATATATATTTTTTTCTGCAATGCTCTTAAAAACATTTTAAATGCCAACTATATTGTGCTCAAATGTCCCAAGATGGACTAATCAGTGTCTGAAGCAAAACAATTCTGTTCCTTCCTCCACCTTTGATGGTGAAAGCAGTTGGGGTTTAACCAGTGAAAACCTCTTTTCCAAAGCATTTTAAAGTTTGTGAATGTACAAAACCTGTGAAAGAGCTCAATTAAAGGACTCACAAGGATCATTAATGAAGGCTGAAGGACTTGCAACTAACCTGAGTCAGGTTCGTCACCCTAAATAATGTTCTACAACAGGCAGCAGAACCCTCCTTTCACCGGTTCCCTCCACAGGAGCCACAAAACGATCCCCGACAACCCACGGACCTGCCTGAGCCTTCTCTCCCTCATCTTAAGACAAGATCTTATTTAGGAAACTTAAGTTACGCTTTTCTTCTAAGGCCACAGGTGAGCTGGTGCCTCCCTGAACCTTTCAAGAGAGTAACAAAA